ACTAACCCTTGAGTCTTTGATTTTTCTGAGAACTGCAACTATTTAAACTGCACTGGTACACATCTTCTTTTTTTTGTTGTTGTAAATCCATTGTTAAGAGCTTACTTGATATGAGTTTAATTGCTTTGGAGCAACCTTTAATTTTAACATTTAAAAGCTAGCCTTCTGAAGCACTAAGGAAGGGCACTCATTTGTAATATAAGGAACTCTTGTTCTGCTCAGAGACCAGAATAATTATTTCAATATAGCCACAACAGATCTTTTTATTGTCTTTTCTTATTAAAACATCTACTAAACTACACTTCAGCCAGCCATGAGCTCAAATTGCTAGTGGGGGAAAAAAGTTGTCATTTCCTCTTTAATGATAAATTTCACTAATATTCATGCAATTGTTAAGTGTTTTTAATTTATTAAAATTTCTTCTCTTATCTCCCAGGCTATTTATGTGTGTATGTTTGTCAGTAGACATATTTCCTGCCATTTGCTAGTATTCATAGTGCTGGTAGACACTATTGAAAATCTTGTCTCATCCACATCTTGCTTGTATTACTTGCCCATAAAATGGGTAGGACTTGAGATGAGGAAAACTGGTACCTTGGAGCTTTTTAGGTCTAAAGAGTAGAAGCATACCTGATGTGGAAGGTAAGATAACTATACTGCCTTCTTGGGCTGTAATCATAAGTGATCTCAAGTGAGGCTCTTTATTGTAGCATACAAATGCAGCAGTGTGGCATTAGCAGCTCTAATAGCGCTATGCCCTTTGTCATTTGGATATGATGTAAAATATGTCTCCGTTTGTGATTGTTAAAGATCCTCTAGCACTCCTCACTGCGAAGGTGTATTAGCCTCAGTGTCTTAGCTAGATTCCAAATCCAATGATTACATGAATTCACCTGGAATTTCCAATTACACTTGAAATCTCTTCCTGTGTCCTAAGCTGGCAAATGATTGTGCTCTGTTACGAAGCCACCCTCTATTCTAGAGATGGCAGCATTTCATTAATGAGTGAAAGTGGTGTGTGTGTGCGTGCGCTCTGCAATTTTTTTAGGTGAGAAGAGCCATCTGAACTTGTTATAGTCTTGGTAGTCTTGTGTTAAATGTACAAGATATTGATATTTTAACTTAGCTAAAGTGAAATATTTAAGTGCCAACATTCAATAGGCCTTTCACTAGTTAGAAGTCTAATTTTTCATGTAAAGCAATTAATTTTCTATGTAAAAACTGTAATATAAAATGCACAGCATAATTAAATGTGGGTGGCTTAGAAGGCATCCACTAGGTGTTACACTCAGTTATTGTTGCAAATGAATAAAGCGTTATTTATCTATACTTATGAGGCAGCTCTAGGTGGTTTAATGACAGTCAGTGTCTGAAATTGTTTAGTTGCCTGGTATTGAAATGGATGATGTGGTTATTGCAGAAGTATGTCATTGGCATTTTTCTGCTATTCTTCAGAAGATGATTTTCCATAACACTACTTCCGGTTCATGTATTAGGTTGAGTTTTCAGTGGTATAGCTTTATATCTAAAATGAATTGGACCATTTAAAAGTAATTGGGACATAAAGCATTATTAGCAATATGTCCTCAGATATTGCGATGAGCATTGTATAAATACCTAAATTGACTAAACACTTCCTTCCCCCCTGCTATACTGTTGCTGCATGGTGAATATAAATGACCACAAATGAGAACTTTCTTTCAGTACTGGGCATATTTCCCTGTGGTAGTTATAGTCTGTATTGCTTTTCACCTTCACACACCAGAAGTACTTCTGGTGAAGATGACTGCTCTTTGTTTGTTTTACTTCCCATCTGTGCAACAGGAATATCATGTCATGTAGCTGTGAGTGCAGTCATGTAGACTAGCAGTGGGAGTACATATACAGCCATTATGGTGTTGACAAGAAAGTGGTGTGTTTTTTAACAGTAGAGTAGTGTCTTCTAAAACACATTGAGAATCTGAAGGCATTACCCAACAGATTGTGTTTTAAAATGGGTTACAATTGGAGTCTGAGCTACACACTTGTCCACTTTCAGTTCTTTGCATGCTGAATATTGTACATGGCCTCACCATTAATAAAGCTCATAATACATGAACATAAATTCCATCCAGCATTCTGAAATTGGAAACAGACATATAAGTGTTTAATGTAGCAATCTTGGAAGTATACAGCTGAGTGCCTTTATTGCTTTTACAGTACTGTGTATCTATGAATGCCAGTGATAGAAACTAGAAGAAGTTTTCCGGACACGGGCAATGACTTGATCAAGATGGAGATCATGAGTAATGGACTACTGAGTAGTATACAGTGGGCCATATACCACAACAGTATCTTGAAAGATGTAGAGGAAAGAGGTGAATTATTTATGATTAGACACAACTTTATCCCAAAATAGTAAATTTCATCTGCAGGCTAGCTCTGACCTACCTGTCTCCTCTAAGAATAATTAGGAGTTTATTTCCTGTGAGGACCAGAATGAACTGTGGAGGAAATGTCCTCCTCCTGGGAACAAATAGTTTCTCAAATAAAATCTTAAAGTACTTTGATCAAAGAGAGTGCCACTTCTAAATTGGAATTCCTCTTACTAGCCATTACTTATGCTATTGAGGATTTTTCTCCCAGAAGAACAGCAACAAATGTGGTGTATGAATATTAGCTTCTGTCTTAAGCATTGGTAAGTTTTATGGCCACAAACGTTAAAAAAGGAGTTGCTGACATGTCTGTATTCTCATTCAGCTGTATACCAATCAAAATCCTTAGATTGTTGTGTGCGAGACCCTGGATATAAAAGATTGCAACACATCCAAGTAAAGTTGCTGCTGGGTAAGATTATAAGATATGGGCTAGGAATGAGTTATCCAATCAGAACTTGTCACTGTTTCCCCTTTTTCAGCTTTTCTCTCCAGTGACCTTCATGTATTTAGTCCAATGACTAAAGCAAACAAGCTGAGAGAGAAGAATTCCCTGTCAGAAAATCCTGTGGTGATGTATGGGGAGGAAAGCAGCCTCTGTCCCTTCATTTGCTTGTGGGCTAGTATAATATTGTCATAGTTCTTAATAAAACATACTAAAGAAAGATGTCAAAAAGGGTGGTCCTCAGTTTAACTAGCTTTCTTGCATCACCGAATATGCACAGAGCCTTTTATCATTTTATAGAAAGATTCCTCTATCACCTGTACCATAGACTTTTCTGTGTCATTACGAACAAATATTCTTTCTTGAATGAATATAAGATACTTTATAGTTTACAAAATAAATTAGTTTGGATGCTTTGAATTAAATTGTAATGGTTCTCTGTTGCTTTGCAGTGGTATCAGGACCCACTAGACATGGTTTAGATTTCATTTGGGACTGAGAATTTTTCTCATAGTCATGGGAAGACTTATCAGTGTAAATTTAAGGAGTTGTGAAATGCTGCATGCCTTGCACTTCATGTGGGTGAATTGCAGTTCATGTTACTAAGGGTACGAAATTAATTAATGGTGGAATACTTTTTGCTGTAGTTGAATTCATTTGCCTCTTTCTGCTATGCTGAATGAAATGATGCAGTTCTGTTAATCTTTCTTAGTTTCTGTACAAATTATCCCAAGTGGCTTTTAAACTTCCATTGTAGTTCTCTTGAGGAAAAGCTTGATGCAAACAGAACTACAATTTCCATTTAAAATTTGCATATTAGGCATTTATTGTATGTAATCATTGGGCGCTATTATTGTTAAATGCTTAGCTTAGACCTTTGAGTTAAACTATAAAAGACAGCAATGGCTTTTCTGATTTTTAAAGTTAAAACTAACAAGATACATCCTCACAAAGTTTGATCAGGAGCTTTTCTATACAGGGACTCTGTATTCCTGGATGTGGCGCACCATGATCCTTATTTTGGGTCTCTTCATGCTACCACAAAACAAATAACTTACTATTTCCAAAGTCCTTGGTGTACATGCTCCTGCCACCCTATAGCCCATTATCACAAATCACGCACTCTCTGGAACTTAATTGTAGTCCTCTAGTAACTTGTCTAGATGCTGCAGCTTACTACGATCATGAGCAAACTAAAGTCTGTCTAACAAAGTCAGTCAAGTTCTTTCCTAGTACTCTAGTATGTAATTCCAGAAAGTATGCCCAACTACTCAGATTTTGTCAAACTTTTTCTCATTCTCAGTGGATAGGCATATCAAATAGTTCGATACAACAAGTCTAAGCCATGATGAAAGACAGAGTACAAGAAAAATACTTTGTATTTACAATCTTATATCCAAGAATTTCAAAGCACTTACCTGTGTGTAGTTGGTGGGAAAACTCCAAGATAATCCTGTGTTGATAGGTTCCTCATATAGAAGTTTGTAGTCTAATTAGCCATTGGTGACATCATTTGTCACCAAAAAATACAGTCTGACTTAATAAAAACAATTCATGTCCTGACAGTTTATGCACTAGTGCAATGTTTGTGCATTTGGGCTTTCAGCACTTCATGGTAATGTTTAAAAAGAAATAGCTTATTTTTATCCTCAACATTTTTAATTAAAAACCTTTCTATTAAGTTTAGAGGAAAGAATCAAATTTTTGTTTTGATAATCTTTAGTCTTCCTATCAGGAAAATATACACATGCTCAATATCTAACTTCTCTAATATAATATTACGAACCCCATAAGCGAACATTTTATGGTTTTAGATAGAATTATAGTTCTGTACATGAACATGTCCATTAGCAAACTGGCAGGGCTGCAGGTTAAACATTTAATTTTAAAATCTTAATGTAATTGCAGTGCAGTTTCCCCAGCTCTGATTTGGAATGAAGAAAATCTACATGCTTCAGGCATAGGTCTCTTTAAAACAGAACAGGGATTTAAAGAACACACAAGAGGTTATAGAGTACAGGTTTCAGAGTAGCAGCCATATTAGTCTGTATTCGCAAAAAGAAAAGGAGTACTTGTGGCACCTTAGAGACTAACCAATTTATTTGAGCATAAGCTTTCGTGAGCTACAGCTCTTGAAGGAATAGGTATACTTCTATCATAGCCAGTAACAGCTCCGGAACGTGCTTTCGGTGATGAGGCGGGAATCACTATAAAGAGGGAAAAATAGTAAAATAAGGATTTTTTTCCTATTGCATTGGTTTCTATTTCCCATTTATTTTAGTAGGAGAGAAACATTCTTGTTACGTTCATAGTTTTACTACTCAGCAAGCTTACTTGAATAATAGGGTGGAATTTTCAAAAGCATTCTTCCTTGGCCTATTTCTTCTCCTATTGAAGTCTTTTGGTTTTGGAAAATCCCGTCCAAATGCCATTAGAGTTTATTGGGCAACACTAATGAAGATTCAAAGCAGTGGCTATTTACCAGACACAAGGCTATGTTTAACAGTAATTTTGAAATTTAATGTTAATATGGAGTACTTCGTATAGCACTGATTTAAAATTCTCACCTTTGGGTGTGTGTGTGGGGGACTTGCCATACATGATTTGTGATCTTCCCTTCACCTGAGCAGCCATGGCAGTGACATTTCACTGCTGTTCTTTTTTAACATCTGTCCCAAAATAGATTTTAAACATTAATATTTCTCAATTTTCAAAGAAATTATACCAACAGCACAGTTGAGTGTTCTCTTTGTTCATAGTTCGTTTTTGGGTAGGGATTCTGATCTTTATTCTTCGTTTGGCAAACTTTACAATAACGTGGTATGAGCACTGAAGGTGCTAAATAAATATCCTAAACATGTAATAGACTGGAAAGGCTCCAACAGAGCTGTTGTGTTCCATTTTGTAATTAATATGGCTCCTAAAATGATGACTACATATTTAAATGATGAAACATTAACAGCTCCAGAGGAGCTATATTGATTCATCTCCATAAGAGGCTTTTTTTTTTAAGGTCCTAAGTATGTGCTTACATAAAGAAGTTATTCCAGTCTGACATGCATAATGCCCACAGTATAACCAGTAGCGATTCTCTATCTCTCTCTCTGCACTTTCACTTCTGTTAAACATTAATATTTTGATATCACCCTGTAATACTAGGAAATGTCCCATCTAGTCTGGTGTCTTCCTCCAGCAGTGGCCAATATCTGATACCCTTCTTTACAGAACCAGACTTAGTTTTTAGTTTCTTCTTTGGTTTCTATGAAAACCTTAAACAGAATTAAACAGGTGAACTTTGTATTGAATTAATAGCAGATGACCTTTCTGCAAAGCTGGCATCGATATAAGTCAGGATTACAAAAATAAATCTACCATGCCAGAATGACATTGACTTGGTGTATTGTCTTTCCTTCTCAAGGAGCGTTTCTGTCAATCTCTCTAAATAAGCAACCTGACTCTGAAATTATAGTAGCAATTAAAATTTATAAAAATCCCCAGAGCTGTGCTAGATTTGTCATTTTACAGTCTTTTTCCATTCATCAGTTCCTCGTCAATTAGTAAACCTGCATCTTAATCAGTTTAATAAATTATTCCAGTAAATCAATATTTGAGGTTAAAAATATGTCCCGTACAAATGTACTTAATTGGTAGCTATTAAAGATTGAAGGTTATTGTATCTCTCAAAGGACAAAGCTGACTTCATGGTTAGCGGTGGATGAGAAGTACAGTACATGCTTTCTTTTAACTATTGTAGAGTTATCAAAATCTAACCCAGAAGCTGCTTGTCGTCATTTGCCTTTTATTTGTATCCTTATGTTGTTCTTCTGTGTGGAAACAGAAATTTAGTTGACTAAACATCAGAAATGTGTAATTTGGTTTCACTGAAGTTACCAAAGGACCCTTCCATGACTGAAGTAACTGGTGATGTGATTGACTGCACCTACCCCTGGATGTTACTGTGAGCAACAGTTAGTTGGTTCAGAATAAAATTTTACTGTTCTGGGAAGAGGGGGAGATTTTTTTAAAATTTGATTAAAGGTTACTTTCTGAATTAATTCCTGCAGTACAGCAACTACATCTAAGCAAAATGATCTTTCTGTAAGAATATAAGCTCATGAAAATCAAGTAGTACTCTGTGAAGGAGTATTTAAAAATGACTTTTTCAAACCACTAATTTGACTGTTCATTCTAATATAGATTTTTAAAGAAGAACTCCAGACCATTATAGAGTGAGTGTGTGTGTTTACACAGATGAGTTCATGCTGCTGCCTCCTCGTTCTTGACACTTTGCTTATTCGGGGTTGGCGACTCTTGTATCCTTCTTCTCTGCTGTCATGCAGATTGGTCTCTCTGGAGTCCACTGATATCCGGTCTGTGTACAGAGTCTTTGGTCTCCCCATTAGCCATCTTTCGTCAAGAGCCATCCCACTGATATAACTCTTGGGTCTCCGCTGGATATGCCCGTACCAGTGTAGCCCAGCCTCCTTCAACTTGTCCTCAATTGGAGCTACTCACATTAGGCCCCTTAAACCTCATTTTGATTGTACTGTCCAACATGAGTTCATGCCTATTCTACAAAATTCCACCACATAAAACGTTGCTTTGTATTCATTGACTTTAACATTTATAATGTGCATCTTGCTTCTAACAGTATCTTGCAGTTGCATAGAATGAGTATGCATACAGTATCTTCACTCTCTAAATAAATGTTTTGTCACCGCAGTGGGTAATTAGAGTTCTATACTACTTCAGTAATTATCCCCAATAGCACAATATTTCTCTACTTTGCAAACACGTTTCCAGACTCTGACCTTTGATGCAGTCTGTCTGAAGGTGGCTTTGTTGATCTGATTCTGTACAATGAGGCTTTTTAAAAAAGGAAACTATTGCCCGTAGTAGAATAAAATAATTTGTCTTAACGTCTGTTATGATGCAGATGTGTAAGCATTTATTTTCATCTTTCAGCTGTTTGCTGGCTCAGGAAAGACTACAAGATATTTGCAGCTTAAAGAGTTGTAATGATATTTTCATATTATTTGTACAGCCACCCCTTTGTCTCTTTCAGTATCTGAAGCCAAGGATCATGCTAAAATATCTTATTGCTTTATGGAAGTTCACTTTACTCTATATTTAACACTTCTGTAAACACACAAGATGTCCTTAAAATATCAAGTTGGTACAAGAATTCAAACCATTATATCTATTAATAATCAAATAAAATCTGGAAATGAAGTTCTACAATATAATATGTCAGTTTTACTTTAAAGAATTACTTCTGTGACTAAACATGTATGGATTTCCAGATACCAAAAATAAAGCACCAGTTAATAGCATACAGTCTCTTGGAAAATTTAGATCTTTGACAGGCTTATGTCTGCATATCTCCAAAATGTGAAACTCTTTGCCAAAGATTGTCTTATGGACATCTGGCAAATCACTTAAGAGACTATTTTATGTATTTTAAGCCCCATTTTTATTAGTTTTGGCAATTATACTTAATTCACTTGTGTGGCACTTGATGGTGTAATCTTAACTACCCAGTCTAGACCTGGCTTATGTTTGGCTAATTTTGGTGCCATTTATACTAGCACTTGACCTGGGGTAACTGTTGTGGGAAGCTGAATTTATGAGTTGCCTGGCTTTTATGGACATGTGAGACTTGACTTCTGTAATGCTTAATGTATTTAGACATGATAGATTTCTTGCATTGTGTAGCAAACTGTGTTTTTTATTACAATGAAATAACATTCCCTTTTGAAAACAGGGTCTTCAAAATAGGTTAGTTGACTTGCTCTTCCAGAACTAACTCATATGTAATGTGCACAAAAACCATATGCAGCAATTTATCATAAATGAAAGCAATTTTGCGTTTAGCTATGAATAATCTTTGTAAATACAGTTTCAGTTTTCATGATCCTAAGGTGTAGCTTGCTGCAATAGTATATCTTCTGTACAAGCATATTTTTATTCTTATGCTGAGACTGTACAAAGTATTATCTGCTTTAAATCTTGTTTGTCAGCTGGACATAAATTTGAATACATATTAAACAACATCTGAAACTGCACCAGTTGCACTAGCAGGTAAGTCTTAAGTTTGACAGTCCTATCCTTTTATACTGTCAAGAAGCCACACTGAAACTTTCAATATTTTGTTACTTCTAACAGTTCTTATATTGTCTAATTCCTCCTCCTCCCCCCCCCCCCCCCGGTGCTTTGAGGCTACAGTCTGTTCACTTTTTGTCTCTTTTCCCCTGACCAATAACCCCATATGGCATACTAATGATCCTTCAACTGAGGAAGGCTGGGCTTCTCCTAGATCCCATCTCATCTATACCTCAAATCTCGTCTGTTTCAAACGGCGTCAGTGTCCTAACTGAATGTATGGCTTTTACACTTCCACTTTTGACATAAGATGAGCAGGGGTGACAGTGTGCTAGAGGGGATCGGTTGGGTGAATTCATGCTTAAATGTCCACGGCTCCAGGGGTGCTGTAACAATATTTATAGTGGGGGTGCTGCTGATGGAAACCATGTATTTGGTGTTAAAACTTCAAGCCAAGGGGTGCGGCTGCACCTCCAGCACCTCTAGTTCCAGCACCACTGCACAGATCACATTAAACCACAATCCAAATGTAAATGTGGCTGAAGGAAGGCAGGGCATGTTACCATCCTTATTTCTAATCCAATCTAACTTGTGTGACCCAGTAGGAGAACCTGTATTTGACTAAGGGAAATATCCTAGCAAAAGAATCTGCTAGAATAAGTGTTGATTTTAAAATCTATTTCTCCCCGACCCCATGCATACCTTAAAAAATTAATAGTCCCTTCCCACGCCTTCAGGAAAGGATAGGGTATGTAACCGTTATACAAAGGAACTTACAGGGGCTTTCTTGGAGTGTGGTGGCAGCTGGCCTTCTGTACTGTTCCAGTCAAATGGAAAATGTAGCATGTTCTCACTTGTAAAACAAATTTTGGTTCTGATCTCATTCATTGTTGAACTTTAATTTATATCCTTTTTTTCATATTTTATAATGCATACAACCTAGTTTGTAATAAATAAGCTGGCATCCAGCTGGCTGAAGTCTGTATGCAGCTTGTAGTGCATATCTTAGCAGTCACTTAGCAGTTTGTTCTGATGGACTCAGCACAGGTCTAACAATCAGAACCTCTGGACTTCTAATCCTGGCTCTGATGCAACTGGCTCTGTGGTCTCTTAACCTCTTACAGATGGAGAAACAGAGGCAAATGGGGATAATACTTCTCTCACAGTAATGGCGTGAAGATTAGCTATTTGTCTAGTGCTTTCCACATAGATAGTACTTTGTCAGCTTTGCCAAATATTATTAGTGAACTAATTGCTTGAGACAGATTCTGTTTGGTGAAATATAAAATGCTCTAGTTTCTGATTTTTACAGAAATGACCATTGTTTTACCATTTTTTAAATATTTCCAGGGAGCGATGAAACAATGCAGCCAGCCAAACCATCATTCCTGGAATATTTTGAACAAAAAGAAAAGGAGAATCAGCTCAATAGCTTTGGGAAGAATGCATCTGGCCAGACAAAAAATTCCTCTGATTGGAAAGTACCACAGGATGGAGACTACGAATGTGTAAGTATATACTTTGAAATGTAATACGGCCATCTTAAAGGTTTTCTGTTAATCTTACTGTAACAAGTTTCTTATTTGGAGAAGGTACAGTAGAACCTCAAAGGTACAAACACCAGAGTTACAGACATACCGGTCAACCGGCCACCCTGTGGAACAGGAAGTAACCCTGCAGCAGTGGGGGGAGACAAAGACCCACACCCACATCCACCCCCACACACACCCTTCATTGCCTCAGGCCTTTAGCTCAGGGGTTTGGGCGGGGGTTGGGGCTGCAGCTGCAGGGTGAGGGGGGTCAGGGCTCCAGGCAGGGAGTGGTGGTCAGGGCTTCTGATCCTTGGAAGTACTGGGGCTTGGGGCTTCAGCCCTGTGGCTCCTTTCCTGGTTTCAGACCTGCAGGGGGCATAGCGGCTTGGGGCTTAACTATGAGGGGAGCGCCGGTTTCAGCCCCATCGTGCACCCTTCTTCTCTCTCTCTCTCCCCCCCCCGGCTGAAACCAGGAGCAGAGCTGCAGGGCTGAAGCCCTGAGTCCTGGCACTCCCCCAAGATCTAAATCCCTGAGTTTTAGTGCTCCCGAAGGGCAGAAGCTCTCACCCACCTGGAGCTCTGATTACCCTGCACACCACCCTGCGGCAGCAGCCCCCCCCCCCCCCCCCCCCAGCATCCCACCCCCTCCAAGCAGCTGAAGTCCGTAACATCTTGTTCAGAATTAAGGACATTTCAAAGTTACGGACAATCTCCATTCCTCAGGTGTCCGTAACTCTGAGGTTCTAGTGTAATAGAAAGTCAAGGAAAATTTAAATGCTAACTCATTACAGCCTCTGGGTATATTTTTCATGTAAGAACATCTAAGATACTAACAAACTTTTTGTAATTTTATTCTTTTTTGTTTGAAATGCGTAATGGCTAAAATATAAACAAAATTCCACATGGCTATTGGAAAATATTAATCCTTAATGTGTCATGTGTGAATCAGTGTTGCCAAATCTCATGATGATTGGTATGTGTTATCTTAAAGCTTTACCTCTAGGAGTCACGTTATTTGCAAATCTCAGCCTTCATATTTTTTAAAACAAAACCTGTTTCTAGCCTTCATAGATAGTAATGGAGAAAAGCTGGAAAATGCAAACCTCAATGTCTCAAAACCAGAATGCAAAACAGGACCTTAAATTTATTTTATTTAAAATCTCATGATGACTCTTAAGCCAATCTCACTTTTTGGGGGATCAGACTTAAGATTTTTGAATGATTTCTGGAGTTAGCAGTACTGCAAGATGGATAATCCACCTTACTGTGGTGTTTTTCAGCTGTCTCTTTCAGTGATATTTCAGTGCAAGTTCTTTCTGTGTTAGCTGCTTTTGTTTTATTGTACTCTGTTTTAACTTACCTTGAATCTTGGGTAATATGAAGGAATCAGATTGAAATAATTAATGTTGAAATTTACTCCAGCATCATAAAGCCATGCAGGAAGCAACATCTACCTCCTGGTCATGACACAGTGCTTCAGAGGAGGCCTTGCAGCCAAGGCTGGTATAGTATCTGCAGTTCTTCTGTGCCTCTTGCACTGATTCATAGGGCCGCTGGAGCCAGGGTAGCACAGATCGTGCAGTCTCTCCACTTTAGCCTAAATAGGACCGGCATGGAGACTCCACTAGAGGACCCACCGCACATTTCTCCTGTAGCCCTTTGTAACACGCAAGCCCTGTTTTGCCCCTGCGCACCACTGTTAATGTTCAGAATCGCTTCAGAAACACATTTTACAAAAATAGTATATAAGCAGCAGGCTAATTTACCAGCCTATGCACCAAAGAGCACTCCAGCCACAGGATTCCAGTCCCTTTTCTTCAAGGACTTCAGAATAACAGAAAATATATCAAACATGTCCTTTTCCACTTGACCCAGGGTTATCTTCAGGAGCCTATCTACTCTCTACAGGATTACACTCTGTAGGCCATCTGCCTGGGAATCAGGGCGAGCCTCTCTGTTTCCTTTTCCTTCCTAGCCTGTTCCTTGCAGATTATGCACTGCAGGCCATCTGCCTGAGAGTTTTATATAAACTGGCCTCTTCCCCTGACCTGGGGACTACTGCAGGAGCCTTCCTACCCCTGCAGCTCTCCAGCTAACCTGAGTTACTTATTACCTGTTGGTTTTTATGAGGACCAGGTGATCTTCAAGCTGTCACCTGAATCCTGGCCTCACAGCCTCAGCTGGGCGGTGGCTCATTAGTCACAGGTAGGGTTAGGCCCAACTCCTTTTAAAAGGGTCAGCCACCCTCTGACATAATATAATTCTCTCCCTCTTTTACTTTAAGGGGTGCTGCATATTTTTCCTTCTCCATGTGTGCACGCTGTCATTGAATAGGTGTTCGTATTGGTCAACAATGTGAAGCTAGACACTTTAGCATAGTAAAGGATACACATTCCTCTTGAAAAGAGTTGTGGAGGAAAAATTGATTTCTTCTGTTTTAATTCTAATAGGTTGATACCAAAATCCATCTAAAAATTGTTCATATAAACATTCTGGGACTTTCTTGAAAACTGTGAAGACCCCAATTTATTACCATAGAATGGGGTGTCCTCTTATGGATCAGTGCACATCTAGTTCACTGGGAGTGTGCACACAGTGGGGGATGTGTGTAGTGTAGAAGGCACAAGGTAAAGAGGAAAGTTCTGTGACATAAGAATGACCATACTGGGTCAGACCAATGGTCCAGCTAGCCCAGTATCCTGTCTTCTGACAGTGGCCAATGCCAGGTGCTTCAGAGGGAATGAACAGAACAGGTAATCATCACCTGCTGTTGCCCATTCCTGGCTTCTTGCAAACAGAGGCTCAGAACATTGTAACAGAGAAGAAATATTTTTAGACCTGTGATGAGTAGCTGTTTTGACTCAGTTATATGCCCTTGGTTACTGCCTTCTGTTATTACTGAAGTATTGCTGTTTACATAGATTACCAGTTTGGTGATAACACAAAAAGGAAGCATTTTGAAAGCAATAAATCAAACATTATTTAAAAGTGCTTGGGTCCCCCTCATACATTAATTTGTAAAAATCTCACTTCTAAGCAGCGTACACTTCCTTAGTTCAGTTTTCCCTCCATGCATGAATATGCCACAGTCTTGCATTTTAATTCTATAATTGAGCTGACTCTCCAGTTAGTTTTTCTTTTATGTAGGATAAGTACTTGAAAGCAACAAACATTAATGTTTAATATACACAAGGGTGTTTCCTGCAGCCCTTAAATGAGGGTTACTAACAGTAACATGTTATGTAATCCATTCAAAGACCTAAAGCTGAATACCTCTCCTGTTTAGTTAAAAAAATTGAATAGAGTAACCTAATGTTGGGCTTTAGGCAAAACTCATCTGTTAAACTGCTTAGTAATTGAATGCCCCAATATCATAAACTGCTTGAAGTGAGAGTACTTTCACTAGTTAATATCAAGCACATTCAACCTAGACTGAACCCAGCACTGGACTAATTCTGCTTTGTCAGAGGGGGTGGACAGGAGCATGCTTTTTATCTTAACCTCTATGGTTCCAAGCAGAGACCAGATCAGTCAGCTTGGAGATAAATATTGGTTTCTCTGAGCCTCAGGAAATGTGATTTGAAATACTGTTTGGTTTGTTAGTACAGTCTGGTTAACATTTCTCTCCCCTTAAGTCCAATGTGGTTTCTCCCTCCTAGCTTCTATAAACTGGAGACTCCTGGTTTACAAGCAAGCAACATTTAATTACAAAAGATATTTTTACCCTTTCCCTTGTGGAAAAACATTTGACCTTTTCCTGGTTAGAACTGTTTCTCTGAAGCAGGCAAATGTGAAGTTATTTATACACCACAGCAATGTCCTCTTGGATTAGGGTTCCATTATTTTCATCCAGACTTCCTGTTACTTGTTAAGTGCTGATAATGTGCAAAGCACTGAATATTTGTTCCTTGGGTAGGTATTTATAGACTGTAATCAAGTCACCCTATAACCTTCTTTTTGTTAAACTAAATAGATCGAGTTCCTATAAGGCATGCTTTCTGATCCTTTAATCATTCTTGTGTCTCTTCTCTGAACCCTCTCCAGTTTATCAACTTCCTTTTTGAATTGTTGGCACAGAACTGGACACAGTATTCCAGCAGTGCTTGCACCCGTGCCAAGTATGAGTTAAAGTAAACTCTCTACTCTTAATCGAGATTCCCCTGTTCGTGCGTCCTCGGGTTGCATTAGCTCTTTTAGCCACAGTATCTCACACTGGGAGCTCATGTTCAGCTGATAATCCTCCATGACCACCAAATCTTTTTCAGAGTCTCTGCTTCCCAGGATGGAGTACCCCATTCTGTAAGAATTTCCTGTATGCTTTGTTCCTAGCCATATTAAAATGCATATCGCTTGCTTGCTCCTAGTTTATCAGGTGATCCAGATCCAGCTGAATCAATGACCTGTCCTCTTCGTTATTTACCACTCCTGTAGTTTTTGTGTCAAACTTTCACTGATGATTTTAAGTTTTGTTTCAGGTCATTGATAAAAATGTTAAATAGCGTAGGACTAAGAACCAATCCCTGCAGGACCCCACTGGAAACAAACCCACTTGATAACAATTCCCTGTTCATAGTTACATTTTTGAGACTGATTTAGTTAGCCAGTTTTTAATCTCTTTAACGTGTACCATATTAATTTGATATCTTTTTAATTTTTAATCAAAAGTCACAGGGTACCAAGTCAAATGCCTTACAGAAGTCTAAGTATATTACATGAACATTATTACCTTTATCATCCAAACTTGTAATCATAAAAAAAAAAAATCAGGTTAGTTTGACAGGATCTGTTTGTTGATTCGCATTTATTACATTATCCTCCTTTAGTTCTTTATTAATTGAGTCCTGTATTAGCTGCTTCATTGTCTTGTCCAGTATTCGTGTCAGCCTGACAGGCCAATAATTACCCAGGTCATCCTGTTGTCCCTTTTTTTAAAAATTGGGACAACATTAGCTTTCTTCCAGTCTTCCGGAACTTCCCCAGTGCTCCAAGACTTACTGAAAATCTACATTAACAGTCCAAGAACTCCTCAGCCAGCTCTTTTAAAACTCTTGGATGCAAGTTATCTGGACCTGCTGACTTAAAAAAATCTAACTTTTTAAATCACAGAAAACTTGTCTTTTTATGTTAACACAATAATAAATTCCTGCTCCATGCTTTCTTGGCATCATTATGATACTGAAAGCTGTGCCAGATTCCAGGGGAAAATGGTGAGAATAAGATGAGAATAACTTCCCCCCACTTTTTTTAGTTAATCTGCATCCTTTTGCTGTAATGTGATTTTTTTTCTGTCTAATTCTAAATGGCTCTATATAGCAATGCTGAGCTTTTGCTTAAGATAATATATTACTACTTTTGTCTCACTAATCAAAAGGTTGGCTACAAATTCTAGGTTATTTCTTGGAAGTGAGTCAAATTTAACCAATACTTAGTGTTGGACACCATTGCAAGAGCATTTGGATATCATCTTATGTTTCCCTACGGGCACCTGTAGCTATGTCACTTCTACTGCAAAAAGTTAGGATTGAAGCAGAATCTTCGATTGTATCTCTCCAAATGTATTTATTAGCACTAGGGTCAACCCCGATGCCTTAGTCTCAAATGAGCATTTTGGGTTTCTTTGTTTGTTTGAAGCCACCTGCACAATATCTGTGCTTTTGAAGGCCTGTCAGGGGTGCTTCTCTTAAGAGTTATGTTAATAGCCCAGCTGTATTTAGCCATTTATGCTACTTCTAGCTTCCAGAACTGTTAGTGAATACCTGGTAGAAATCCAGTTGATGAAAATGGGTATGCTTTTTTGTTCAAGGGATCCCAGGAAAGCTTTACTCATTGCCTGTTAGCTCTCATTAAAATCCTCTAAATTCTCTTAAACTATCAGGAATTCCTGTACTGGCAAGTTTTAGCTCTGTGGCTGAGCAAGGAGATAGCCGTTCAGAAACAAAATTCATGGCTCTTCCCTTCAAATAACCCACCTTCTTTGGGAACAATCTGATTTGGTTCATGCCTAGGTATTGGTGAATAAGCTCTTTCCCATCCGTGCAATTACTGAAAGCCAGTGTCTGCCTGTCATCTTCCATGACCCAGCCCTTGAGCCTAATGATGAATGTCTTCCTTGATGATCTCCAAGTTTTCCTGTAAACTGTGTGTGTGTGTGTTTCATTCCTTTCATAAACCAAGTCCGTTATAAAACTGCTGTAAATCACTGGAGCATAAATGCATGGTGCGAGGCAGCAGAGATGACTTTTGATGATTCCCCTTTGGCCTTCTGTGGAGACGTTTGTGCAAGGACTGTGAGAAGCTGCTACTGTACACAGCATTTGCTTACATTAGGGATGTAAAAGGTTAACGGGTAAGCATTAGGCTTACCGGTTAACCAAAGTTAACTGTTAACCCTGGTGGCCTCAGCTCCAACCAGGCCGGAGCAGCCCTAGCCCCAGCTGCGCCAACAAGGCCCTGGCTACTCTGCATCGGCCAGCCAGACCCCGGCCATGCTGTGCCTAGCTGGGCAGCAGGACTCTAACCTCAGCTGCACCACACTAAGGGCATAGCTACACTTGCAGATGTAGAGTGCTTTGAGTTAAACCAGCCTTCATAGAGCGCAGTAGGGAAAGCGCTGCAATCTGTCCACACTGACAACTACAAGCACGCTGGCGTGGCCACATTAGCAGCTCTTGCAATGGCCACAGAGAGCAGTGCATTGTGGTAGCTATCCCAGGATGCAAGTGGCTGCAACATGCTTTTCAAATGGCGGGGGCGGGGGTGGAGTGTGACAGGGAGTGTGTTTTGTGTGTATGTGGGGGGAGAGAGAGTGGGTTTTTGCAGGGGCTGAGAGCATGTCAGCATGCTGTCTTGTAAGTTCAGACAGCAGCAGACCCCCCTCCCGATCCCCGCCTCTC